AACGAACGAGTAGGACGCTGGCTCTGTTACTATTATAAATTAACTCGGAATGTCTGGATACTTCTATGCAAACACATGTATACATCTGATACATTAATCTCATTTTGAAGAAATTTCTCCGCCAGCAAACTTAAAAAAAGAGGGGTTATGGCGCACTCAATTAAATTCAAACAGCTCTGGTGGCCGAAGTAAACAATTAGTGAAAGGTACAGCGGCTCAAATTACGCACCAAATTTAGATGCACACGATAGTGAACGAAGGCGAGCGTCATCTCCATTGATTAGAGGTGTAAGAGTAAAAAGTAAGAGTCGCTTGGAAAGTAGGCTAACCTGTGGTCTCCCTGGATTCGTTGAAATAGTTCATGAACACCGGAAGAAAAATTCCAAAGCTGAACAGGAAACCCAATGACGCAACCCAGGTCATGGTAGCACAAGCGCAGACAAGCCAAGACCACGGCCCGTCTCGCTTCCTGGGCTGTCTGGACGAAAACAGCTGAAAAATGGCCATTGTGATACCAAGACAGTGTTTAATCTGAGTGGAACCAAATTTTACAAAGCTGCGACTTGTAAAAATGCACCAAGGTGTTGTGTCGATCAACAAAGCAATCGGAGAGATCGGAATTATAAACTCCCCTGGTGGATGATGGAAACAATAGTACATTAACCAGACAGATCTTTTGGTTAAGTTGATCGTTAAAGTTTAACGAACTCGCAAATCATTGATGCCGCGAAAAAAGGGAAATTTAGGCCTGATTGGGCTAGTTAAATCGAGAACACAGGGAATCCAGCTCACGCCAGGTTTCCGATTGAAATAATCTAGAAGAAAGCTGGGAAAAAAGCCGAAGACACGTATAACACATCGACAGACAAAAAAAAAAACAAAAAAAACAACGAAACACACGTCATTTTTCTGTTGTTTTTGCATTGACGAGCGGAAGAGCTACCTAAAGCATAGTCTGCTGAGCAGCGTAGAATTTTTTTTCTGCGGAGGAGGAGGAGAAGAGTGCGAATGTCAAGTCACACGCGAGAGGAGGAGAGTAAGAAAAGCGCAAAAAACATTACGTCTGTTCTGCGGGCTATCAGTGGAGAAATTAATAAATGTAATCTTTCATTTTCTATTCATTTTATGTATGAAAACAGATCTTGTGCTATATCTTGAACTCGCTGGGTGTTCTATACGCAAGAGGTGGAATGCTCCATCATTCGCTTACAAAGACTACCAATTTGGCAATGGAAACCTCGCGAGTAATGATGATCCCATAAAATGATATAAATTAGTTCTTTTACTAAAAAATTAATCGGCTGAAAAAGAACACAGGTTTTAATCCTGTGTCGAACTACGAAGCAGGCACTCGGCGAGAAGGCAAATAAAAAACTCGCGAGTCCTCTCGCTTGTGCATATCGCACCAAAATTACTTGCGCGTATCCGGCTAGAATTACTCGCGCGTGCAGACCCCTGGAAATGTGGTTGGGTAGATTATGTATATGTACACAGCATTCTCTGTGAAACCCTTGCTCTGTATTATGGCGATGAGAGAAATAACATACTACGAAGGAAGTACATTTCCGCTGCCAAAAAGAAAAAATCCTCTTCCGGTCAGAGGCAAGGGTGTGAACTCCATTAATAAAAATCTAATAAAAGTGAAAAAATCAAATACAACATTTAATTGAAAATAAGGCCTTCGAAAATCCTAAAACTACATAACAAATACAAGGGACAAATTTTCGATGAGAGAGCTAGAAATTTTGACTCCGAAAACGAGTATACGAGTATGTTTACGTCAATCTCAATGTCAAGTTCAAGGTCTCTGAACATGACTGCTTGATTGATCAGATCACATGCGTCGCGCATGAATCCTTAAAAACATACCAAAGATGATGATGGGAAGAGAAAATTACAGTTTGAAATACGTAAATGAAAAAATTAAGAGTGGATCAGTTGAACGGGGGGGGGGACGGGGGTATTTAAACATAATCTGAAAATTTTGAAAGAGGGGCAAAGTCATTGTTTTGTTTGTGTTATGGATTTTTTTCTTTCTCTCTTTTTTATTTCTTTCTTTCTTTCTTTTTTTCGGCCCGATGCAACGCTTACGAAGCTTGGAGCTAACTGCAGTCCAATTGAAAGTGTTCGATTTCTGGTTAATTTAAGGTTTGATATCGTTAGTACTACAATGGAGGGTATATTTTATTGAAGTGATTTAAATTTAATCCTTATCAACCTCTGTAGAGTAGACACTGCGCTGAAAGTTTGTAATTAAACAATTCTTTTGCTATTGTAAATGCATTTTCTGTAATTTTTGAGAAGGCAGTATCAAAATGTTCGATTGGAATATACCCTGCAAACCCTCACCCCCCTCAAGCTCCCACTTGAGACTCACGCTTGCG